TGTGCGATCAAGAAATGATAAGTAAAGTGATATATAATAATGATGAATTATGATTAATTCTGTTCAAAAATATTTGAACATTGCAAAGAAAATGTATATTTGTTCTCTTATACATATATATATATATATATATATATATATATATATATATATATATATATATATATATATATATATATATATATATATATATAAATCGCCTCACAGCAAGAAAGTTGTTGGTTCGAGCCTTGGCTGGGTCAGTTGGTGTTTCTTTGTGGAGTTTGCATGTTCTCTCTGCGTTCGTGTGGGTTTCCTCCAGGTGCTCCGTTTACCCCAACAGTCTAAAGACATGCGGTACAGGTGAATTGGGTAGGCGAAATTGTCTATAGTGTATGAGTGTTTATGGTTGTTTCCAAGAGATGGGTTGTGAAGAAAATGAATGAATGATTGAATGAAATGGTGGAGAGGTTTATTTTATCTAAGAGTGATTGTACATCTTTAAGGCACCAGAGCAATCAATTTTTGAAAAAATAAAAAATAAAAAAAACATTAAAAGATAGTTCTTTGATAATGCTAGTTATCTTGTGTGGTAGGTGATGACATTTCCGTACAGCTTGTATTGTACCTGTATATGTTTGTTTGTCAGTTTTTTGCAACATTTGCTCATTCTGAAAACGTAGCCCTACATGCATTTCTGGAAATCGCTAATTATGTAGCCAGAAGTACATATGGCTGCAATTCGGCTTTAAAACAAATGCAATAGGGCGGTATGACGCTGTTCCTATTCGCGCTTATGAGCTGACCGCTTACATACATATGGGGCTTTCCCGCTGTTAGTAGTTTGTCTGGTGGCTTGCCATGTACGTTGATGGACTTAAGATGCAAAGAGGAGTTGACAGTTGACAGAACAGTTTCAAAAGGTGGGTAAGACAAAAACAGAACTCAAAAAAATGAAATAAACAACTAAATCACAAGGTGGGAATGTGGTAAAATCTGAAAATGTGGTAAAAATCAGGCTGTTGCTAAAACTTTTCTTTTTCTGGATTGCTTTTTAAAACTGTTGGTTGGGTTTAGGGAAGAGGGTGGATGGGGGTCAAACCTTCATTGGGTTGTTTATATAATAACTCAACCGGTTGGGTTAAAATTTTGAATTTTAAGAGTCAACTGATCTAACTTACACAGAACAGCTGTATTTATATGCATGTGTAATGTTTTTTTTTTTTTTGCGTTGTAAAGATTATTTAAGCTCTAACACAGTAATTTATTCATTCATTCATTTTCTTTACAGCTTAGTCCCTTTATTAATCTGGGGTCGCTACAGCAGAATTAACCGCCAACTTATCCAGCATATGTTTTACACAACGAACACTATGAACAATTTAGCCTACCCAGTTCACCTATACTGCATGTCTTTGGACTGTGGGGGGAACCGGAGCACCTGGAGGAAACCCACACAAATGCAGGGAGAACATGCAAACTCCACACAAAAACACCAACTCGACCCAGCGACCTTCTTGCTGTGAGGCGACAGCACTATCTACTGCACCACTGCATCGCCCTGCTCTAATGCAATAACATTGTTGTTATTTTTTGATCAAATTACCTCTCCGTGACGTGTTTTTTATATCCTTTTCACCAGCGCTCTTAATTATCGATGATACAAACGCCCACTTCATAGCCGATCTATATTAAATGGATAAAACGCTTTCTCTACCTCAACGCAATCTCACGGCGATTCGTAACTTTTTGATTTAGTGGCTGATTCGAATGAATTCGTTTGATCTAATTCGTACAATTTAGTACGATTTGCTCATTACCCAATGGCGGTTGGGGTTAGAGGTGGGGTTAGGTGCCATGCCTCCTGTTTAAAATCGTACAAATTAATATGTATTAGCCACTAAACTGACAAAATGTAAAATACTTACGTTTCCTTGTGAGATCAGGCTGCTACCTCCCATGTTTATCTCTACAGTTTTTTTTGGGAGGAAATGATACACATATTTGCGATATCCGCTGTCATTCTCACCTTTAGGACCTAGTGGAGACATTTATTTAATTACACAGCCATTATTATAAAATTAATTGTAGTACAATATTTGCAAATCAACAAACTATGTTTGTGACATAACTTGCGATCTTAGTTGGCTAACGATGGCAACCCGGGCTCATTGTGGAAACGTAGCCCCGCGGACGTTTCTGTGGACCGCGATTTACGTTCCGGGAGGTACGTATTCGAGCGTTTTTTTTTTTCACGGATCCGCGAGAGGCCGCTGTGCGCGCTTTCGCGTCTCGGGCGCCTCTCGTTCTCGCCCTTATTTTTTGGATTCCGTTTTTCGTCTTACCTGATTTCCGGAACCTGCTATTCCCCGGACTCGATCCCGGTCGTCGTCCACCGCGGCCGGCTCCGGCTTCTTCTCCGGGGCCTCCGCTCCGCCGATGCAAACCTTGTGAGCTAAGCGGACAAACTGATTGCATCGGGAAAGCCCTCCACTCGGAGGCGAGCCGTCGGCCGGCAAGCGCAAAGAGGAGGGGAGGAGGGGAGGAGGGGCGGAGCGGCGCCACATCGCCCCGCAGCGTTCGCTCGAAAAAAAAACAAACGCGGCCTTTACGTACCTCCGGCAACGTAAATCGCAGTCTCCAGAAACGTCCGCGGGGCTACGTTTACAGAATGAGCTTGGGTTGAACGATGGTATTGTGAAACACATCCCATGTTGTGAATCATATTTTTCCACACTATAGGCTAGCCTATGCCGTGCAACAGGTAACAATTTAGCTTTTGACCTAGATATCCAGTCAAAGCACTATGCATCCCAGCATTATGGAAATATTAGCTAATCATAATTATTATACATTAATGGACATAATGCGCTTTTTTTAACTAAGCAGATTTTTTTTTCTCTGCATGCGTGTGAAAGAGAAATGAACAGAGAAAATAGACAGATGATAAATAATGTGGTTAAAGTGCCACCCAGCGGTCAAAAGCTGCTGGCGCACCAATTACCGGCTTCGCCGCGGTATGAATAGCGGAATAAGGAACACATTAAAGTAGTGACATCTGTATTTACTGTTTTTTCAAGTAATTCTATACTAAAAGACTTAATTTACACCCATGTTGCAGATAAAATCTAAAACTCCTAAATGCGCAAAAGCACAAGAAACTTCTTTGAGGTCACACATTGACGGGAATGTTGCCTCTATGCCTTATTACTTTTCTAAACGGTGGCAACAATGATATGATAAAAGACACAAATGTTGAATAGATAATTGCGTTTATTCATAAAGAACAATTTTTCTGCCAAGTGGTATCGCTCATTAGCTTCCAACTGTGGCTGTTTATAGCAGCAGCTTTTGGTCACCCTTGTAAAGGGAAATCTCGATCTCAATGGTTTTTAAACCTGGTTAAAGAAATAAATGATTTAAAAATAAGTCAGAATTATTTGCCCACCTTTGGATTTCTTTTCTTTTTTAAATATTTCCCAAATGGTGTTTAACAGGGCAAGGAAATTTTCACAGCATGTCTGATAGTATTTTTTTCATCTGGAGAAAGTCTTATTTGTTTTATTTTAGTGAGAAAAAAGCTATTTTAAAGTTTTTGAACACCATTTTATTTATTTACTGTCATTGGGGCAAAGATAAAATAAATCAGTTGTTAGAAATGAGTTATTAAAACTATTATGTTTAGAAATGTGTTGAAAAATGTTCTCTCTCTTAAACATAAATTGTGCGAAAAATAAACAAGGGGGGCTAATAATTCAGAGGGGCTATATATATATATATATATATATATATATATATATATATATATATATATATATATATATATATATATACTGTGTTCAATATTTAAACTTGCGTGGTATATGTGATTGAGGTGAATTTCATGCATTTGCAGCAAATCATTGTGTCTCTCTCCAATAATTCACCTGTATTTTTGCATTTGCATTTACTTTAAATGTAACTTTTGGGAATACTTAATTTTGCATTTGGTGTTACCCAGCATTAGTTGACCTCTATCAGGAATAGTTAAAGGATTTACTCAGACTAGGCTACTTGGACCATGAGTAAATAATGAGTTTGATCCCTTTTATTACTCCACAATGATCCTTGTCTTGCTTCTAAAATCTTTGTTATCATAACCTGTCAGTAAACAGATGCTTTATTGTGTTTATCAATTACAGACTTTGTTTTCCATTTGAAAAAAAATATTGCAGATATTTATATGTATAAAAAATATCCATATCCACAATAAAAGTACATTTTTAATTGCATGTAAAATGTATAAATGAAGACGGTCTATCCAAGTACTCAATTTTGTTTCTTAATGTTTAAGCTATTCATTTCAAATTAGCTGAAGCAACACAATTCTATATATTATTATATTACAATTCTATATATATTTGTGAGCACATCTTAATTATTTTTATGTACAATCCACATAAATTTGTTAACTTAATCGATTTGTGTTGGGACAACAACAACAAATTGGGGGATTCAGTGTAGACAGACAGACAAAATGTCTAGATAAAAAAAATCTATTTTATTTTATTTTATTTGTAGATTCATGTTTTTTATTTGAATGCTTTTCCTAATGAAATTTCAATTTAGTGTACATCTTAAATTTAGATAACAGCATGAGAAATTCAATTTTGTAAAATAAAAACTTTACTAATGAAAGAGAAATGTGACTTTTCTGTTATTTTAACAGACAGACAGACAGACAGACAAACAGATAGATAGATAGATAGATAGATAGATAGATAGATAGATAGATAGATAGATAGATAGATAGATAGATAGATAGATAGATAGATAGATAGATAGATAGATAGATAGATAGATAGATAGATAGATAGATAGATAGATTACAACTGAACTCTGAATATTTTAATTACACACGTCATTATCTGACAACTTATGGACTACTGGATATTTTCTCTCTGGTGAATCACTGCTCTTTTCTCCTATTCCTGAGGGTGGGGGCGTTATGGAGATCCTCAAGAAGAGGATGGTCAGATGAAATGGCACACAGAGGAACCATGAACACCTCGAGCATTTACAGCACATTCGGACGCCTCTTCCCGCACAACTTTTCTCTTTGGGAGCATTTCCAGAAGAACTGGACCACCCGTGACTTTTCACCCTTCTCCATTGACTTTCTGTTTGCAGGGCACGAGCCGGACACTATAGTTTTAACGGTGATGTACGTGATATCTTTCGTGACAGGATTAGTAGGGAATATCATGGCTCTGTGGGTGCTGACGCGCCGGAGGAACCGCTTGTCTGGAGCCTCAGCCACCAGGAGACTCCTGGTCAACCTGGCGGTGTGCGACATGATGGTGGTGTGCGTCTGCATGCCGGTCAATTTAGCGCACCAGGTGTGCAACGCATGGGTGTTTGGAGACTTTTTGTGCCGCGCCGTGCCGTTCGTCCAGGCGGTGTCCGTTTCCGCAAGCGTTCTGAGTCTGGCCGTGATTAGTCTGAACAGATATTACAGCGTTCACAGCCCGCTGCACGCCAGATCTTTCTTCACGGCCAGCAGGATGATATGCATGATAGCAGTCGTGTGGGTCGTGTCTTCTGCGTTGTGTTTGCCTTTGTTTTTTATGAACACGACTAAAACGCTTTCCTTGTTAGACGGGCTGCACACGGTGACCGTGTGCGTGGAGAGCTGGTCGAAAGTCAAACTGCGCCAGGGTTACAACTTTTTACTCTTCTGCGCGTTGTACGCATTCCCTGTAGTGTTTAACCTGATTATTTGCTTCCTGACCGGTTGGAAATTGAGCAGAGGAGGCTCTTCGTCCATATCAGATCCCAACCAGCTAGCGTTACCCTCTTCAACATCGCGTCTGAAAACGCGCAAGAGGATCGCCAAGATGGTTTTCGCGCTCGTGCTGCTCTTCACTTTCTCCTGGCTGCCGCTTTATGTCGTCGATATCTGGATCGACTCTAACATGCCCAGCTCTCCCGATCGAAATGAAGATTTGAGCAACGTTGAGCATCATTGGATTCTCCAAAGCAGACCCTTTGCGCAATGGCTCGGTCTCACCAACTCGTCCCTCAATCCTCTCTGCTACTGCTTTGTTGGAAACTTGTATAGGTCTGCCAAGAGGTTCAGAGAAAGCTACAGAGAGAAGATCTTAAGTCTGACCAACAAGTCTTCGATCAGAAATTCCGCGTCTAAAATCCAGCAGCGCAACTCCGGATCATCCAAGAGATTAGCGTCAGAAACGAGGAGTTACGATCTTTCCAGGCTGACCCGAAGCAAAAGCTTGTCTTCGACGACTGTGTGTGAGAGCATTTGACTTTAGAAATGTATTACAGACTTTTATAAAGCTATTATGGAAATGTGAAAAGAGTGGTGCTTTATAAAAATATAACTTTAAGTGAAAAGTCACATGATGCTTAGAATATTGTATACATTTTATACACGGTTAAACTGTTTGAATGTACAATAGCCTAACAGCCTGCTATATCTAATGAAAATGAGGTCACATTTTACAATATGGGTCAAGTTTAGTATTTAACATGAACAAACAGTGAACAATGCTTGTAGCATTATAGTTCAGCATTTATTAATGCATTATGTGAACTAACTATGAACAACTATGAACAACTGAATTTTCGTTTACTAACATTAACACAATTAATAAATAATGTAATATATGAATTAATATGGAGCAAAATCAATGCCAAAAGGATTGAATTAAGGTCACAATTTATTTTGATGGTCCGTTAGTTGAATTTAAGTTACATTGCATCTACATGCCAACTTATTCTCATTAGATTATTAGTAGACTTTTAGGTTGTGTTTATAATTGGGGTTAGAGTTAGTGTAAGTTTACATGTACTTGCAAAGTTTCTTATAGTCAGTTAATTGTTTGTTGAAGGAGCAGTTTCAACAGGTATCAAGCAGACATTCTAGTAATACTCAAATGGACCATTAAAATAAAGTGCTATCTGATTTAAAAAAAACTTGAACTACACAAACAAACAAAAAATAATGAAAAATAATACATTGAATTAACAAGTGCTTGAATTTTAATGATTGAGTTGCCAGGGTTTGTATTTATCGTTCCTGAAATTTAACATAGCCATTTATTTAAGCTGTGAATATTTCAACAAAAAAATACTTCAAACACTTTTTCATTCTTATAAATTAAATAATTCATATTCAGTTTGCAGATTTTACTTACAAAATATTTAATACTGTTTAAATTTATGAAGTATAATATTCAAAAGGCAATTTTTTAGTTCATTTTTTTTTTGCTTCCTTAAATTCATTGGTTCAAATTTGACTGTTAAAATTCGACATTACATTGCAGGAAAGCAATAGATTGAATATTTTGAATAATCTACTTCGTATTTTTAAACAGTATTGAATATTTTGTAAGTGGAATCTGTAAATTTAATATGAAGTAATCAATTTATAAATATGAAAGTGTGTTTGGTTGAAATATTCACAGCTTAAATAAACAGCTTTGTTAAATTTCAGGACCTATAAATACAAACCCTGGCAATTCAAGTCATTAATATGCAATCACTTGTTAATTCAGCGTATTATTTTTTTCAGTTTGTGCTATTCAACAAGCTTTTAAATTCAATACTTTTTGCATTGATTTCGTCCCTTAATTTGTTTATAAAAGCATTAACATTAACAATCCCGTATTGTAAAGTTTTACCGAAAATGCTTCTATTTATTATTAGCATTTTTTTTATACTGAAATACTTTCAGCGTATCGTTTTGAATGAGGTGATGAATATAAAACCAGTAAAAACAATGTTAACACATACAGTTGATGTCAGAATTATTCACCCCCCTTTTTATTTTCCCCCCAATTTCTGTTTAACGGAGAGAAGTTTTTATTTTTTATTTTTAAACATAATAGTTTTAATAACTCATTTCTAATAACTGATTTATTTTATCTTTGTCATTACTACAGTAAATAATATTTTACTAGATGTTTTTCAAGACACTTCTATACAGCTTAAAGTGACGTATTTCAGTTTAACTATAACATATATTTATATATATATATATATATATATATATATATATATATATATATATATATATATATATATATATATATATAAAGGGCTTAAAGAGGCTACTAATTTAGACCTTTAAATAGTTTTGAAAAAAAATTACAACTGTTTTTATTCAAGCTGAAATAAAACAAATAAGACTTTCTTCAAAAGAAAAAATATTATCAGGCATACTGTGGAAATTTCCTTGCTCTGTTAAACATAATTTGGGAAATATTTTAAAAAGAAAATTAAATTCAAAGGGGGGTAATTGTTCTGACTTCAACTGCACATGATTAAAGTTGTTTTAGTACCACTTTAAAGTATGGTTCTTTTGGTAAATAATAACTGCATTAGTTACCAATGTTAACATATGCCAAATATCTGTTGAATGACATAATAAAGAATAGGTAACAAATCACTCAATTTTATTTTGACTGCCTGCTCTACCAAATGGTTGACCAAGTTTTTACTGTTCTATATAATGACTGTAAAAGTTTAAAATAATGGCTTACACTCACAGCATTGTTGGTTTACAAAACATCCTGTTGCACTACTACACTTGATTTTGGTTTTATTAAAAAAAAAACAACAACAACAAGAAAACAAGTTAAATGAGAATTTACAATGTTTTACGGCATACTTCAAAAAATAAAGATTTAGTATTCAAAACTGTTTGATTTTGAATTTCTTTAAAAGTGGGTATTACACTTTATATTGTCAGATTTTTCAAAGTTTATGTATTAATTCCGGTACTTTTAACACAAACCGACATATCAACCATTTGGTAGAGGCTGAAATTTTAGAAATTATGGGATGTGTTAAAAAAACCAATGAGTGTGTTAACTAGCATCATTAGGAGTTAAGAAATGCAATTAATTTTTTTTTCTTGGTTGGGTAGTAAAGGTTTAATAATAGTTAAGCAATAAGATTGTATTTCTTTTACATTATAACTCTTTTATTTGAACTTGGGAAAATTCTTTGAATGTATTAATCTTTGTATTAAAATTACATTTTAATTAAATTTTTGAGCATTGCTCGTTGTTTGCTAAAGTTAATTAGTGCATTTACTTACATTAACTAATGGAATCTTAAAGTTTATTTTTAAATAATTTATTATCACAATAATCTTATCACAATAAGATTTAATTCTTTATCATTATTAATTGATTAGCAATGACGTAAAGCACTTATTAATATTAATGTTATTTTCAACATTTTTAAATACAGTTGAATTCAGCATTAGCCCCCCTGAATTATTAGCCCCCTGTTTATTTTTTCCCTAATTTCTGTTTAATAGAGAGCAGATTTTTTAAATGCAAATTTCTAAACATAATAGTTTTAATAACTCATTTCTAATAACTGATTTATTTTATCTTTGCCATGATGACAGTAAATAATATTTTAATAGATATTTTTCAAGACACTTCTATACAGCTTAAAGTGACATTTAAAGACATAACTAGGTTAATTAGGTTAACTAGGCAGGTTAGGGCAATTAGGCAAGTTATTGTATAACGATGGTTTGTCTGTAGACTATCGAAAAAATATATAGTTTAAAGGGGCTAATAATTTAGACCTTAAAATTGTGTTTAAAAAATAAAAAACAGCTTTCATTCTTGCCAAAATCAAACAAATAAGACTTTCTCCAGAAGAAAAAATATTATCAGACATACTGTGAAAATTTCTTTGCTCTGTTAAACATTATTTGGGAAATATTTAAAAAAGAAAATTAAATTCAAAGCGGGCGAATAATTCTGACTTCAACTGTAAATGTATCCAATCAAAAACATATTCTATGCATGTGTTTAAGCTTACATGCATGAACTAACAGCTAATAGCTGTAGTTTTATTTTCTATAACATTGACAAATATAATTATCATAATCTTAATTAATATATGAATGAATATTCTGTAATACATCAGCCATGCAATTGTAAAGTGTCACAATCATTACTACAAAGTGTTACTGTGAATTCTATTAATAACTCTGATATTTTGCTTGTTTATTTGTAATTATTTTTCAGTTAAATAAACGAATACCAGATCTGTTCTGAAATCAGTGCATTTGAGTGGAAAATTACAGGAGTGTGTTGCTCAAGCCAGGATTAACGGCACCGCTGAGAGGCTTTAGCCCTGACGTGTGGTTGTCTGTTATTCCCACCAACTCCTTCAAAAAGAAATCTAAAGATCCCTTTATTACAAATATTCCTACAGTTATACATTCTGACTGCATCACCACACTACATTTGCCGCCGTTCTGACTGCGGACAAGACATTTGACTTTTTAGCTTCCATATACAGTAGAGAGAACAACAGTTTAACACTCTCAAAAAAAGGAGGTTATTAACACTTTACCATAAGGTAGTATTAGTTAATGTTAGTTAATGCATTTACTAAAATGAACAACACATACAGTATTTGTTCATGTTAGTTAATGGGGTAACACTTTAGGTCACAATTCACACTAACTACTGGCTTATTACCTGCATATTATTAAGTTATTAACTGTTCATTAGTAGATATGAAGTAGGATCTTATGAATGTGCTGTAAATGCTCGAGGTGTTCATGGTTCCTCTGTGTGCCATTTCATCTGAGCATCCTCTTATTCTGTTCTCCCAGTGTTCACGTGGTATAGGTGAAGTGAATAAACTAAATTGGCCATAGTGTGTGTTTGTGTAAATGAGTGTGTATGGATGTTTCCCAGTACTCGCTGCAGCTGGAAGGGCATCTGCTTTGTAAAACATATCATGGATACGTTGGTTGTTCATTCTGCTGTGGTGATCCCTGATGAATAAAGTATAGGCCAAATAAAAATGAATGAATGAATGAATGAATAGTAACAGGTTTTCAACATTCTTCAAAATATCTTCTTTTTTGTTTCAGAAGAAAGAAAGGATTGCAAGAAGTTAAAGAGTCGTAAATGATGACAGAATTGTCAATTTTGGGTAACCTATCGCTTTAAAAATAATTTTTTTTTCATACCAATGAAATTCTATGAATTAGCCACTTTTCATGATCGGCTGTTATTTAACAAGCTAAATAAGATTCCTTAGAGTTTTTCTTCCATTATTAAAAACAAAATAAGATCTTGTTTATTGACAAGTTTTAGTTTTTAGTAATTTTATGGAATCACATTTGTAAAAATGAAGGTTAAAATTTACATCAGTGCCAGAAGCCTTTTTAGTTCTCCAGAGAACCTTAAAGTAAACCATTTTTTAGTCTGAAGAACATTTACCAAATCTAAAGAACTTAATGTCACTACAACCTCTTGTA